GACTCGAAGCAGCTGCCGCGTGCTGCAAGAGATCGTCGATGCGCCGACAGCCTGCTCCACCGCTCTACTACGAAGTCCTTCGAATGCCACAGCGCGATCTGTGTCGCTGGGCTGCCTCCGTCCAGTCCACTGAACATTAACGTCGGTGAAGAATCTTCCAATTCTCTCCTAGTTTCTGAGCACGATGATCTGTCTCTTACCGTCGGTAATAGAAGGTCTTCGAGCAACTCTCGATCGACCGCCAGTCCTATTCCGCCCGCCAGCACAGTCTCGGTCATGGTACCACCCCTACAGCCTGAGGATATGCTTCCTAAACTACGCCTTCATCAGCATAACTCGAAAAACAAGTTATTCGGTCTGCAAGCCAATCACCCAACTCTGGAAAGCTCACAGCAGAATAGTGGAGATGGGACAGAATCCAAACCGGTTGTTGGAGCACGTACCGGTAAACGCAAGCAGTCTGAGGGTAATGAGGCTCGTCAATTGCCACCTTCTTTACCACCGGTTACTCGATCACATTGTCATTTCATCAGACTAAAGTTCCCCACGACTGCCGAACGAAGATTTGATACCTTCCTGGTCCCTCAATGTGCAACGGGCGATGAGGTGATCAAGAAGAAGATGAAACAGTTTGAGATGGTTGAGGATGATAATCTGACGGGAGAAGAACAGAGTAGAGGGGTCCGGATTGGACCTGATGGGCGCAAACATTCCGAGGCAAGACTCGAGCATCCGATGCTATTAAGTCTCAAGCCAGAGTGTTCGACGTTTGCGGTTGATGACGAGACGCTGAACATCCTCATCGATGTCTTTGGGCTATGGTTGATCCAAGACGGCCAGGTTGAAGTCTTGTTACCCAAGGCATTTTTCAGCAGGTTCGATGATGAAGAGGAGCTAGACGAGCGGGAACGAGAGCTGAGCTTTTCGTCCTTCAGTTCCTGGAACGAGCCCCATCTTTCTCAACGAGGTACCAGTCAAGCTAGTACATCTAGGAGCAGCCATAATCGACTCAAACGCAGGGCTCAGTCTCCCTCCTCTTCTTTGCCCTCTAGAGCCTCCTCCCCTCGCTCTTCTTCTTTTCTTTCTCCTAATGAAGCCTAGACTCGTCACAAACGTAGAAGATCAAAATCAAAGTTGACGAGAACTGATGGAGGGAAAGTCCCCTCCACATCGGTGGAGAACTCCCCCCTCCCCCCCCCCCCCCCTTTACTCTAATGATCTATTTCTCAAACTCTTCATACTATACTGTGTAATACTGAAAAGTCTTTTTTTCTGCCTTCTTTTTTTTGTAAGTGTACCTACATATTCTTTTATCATTTCTGAGAATGTTGATTTGCCTTCATCGTTAATAGGATGATAGAAGATAAGAATACAATAAAAAAATGTAAT